ATTTATTTCCTTAAAAGGTGTTGTCTAAGGCCAGGATGTGAGTCATAATGTTTTGCTCATTCACCTCTATTTGCTAGCACAATGGACTGGGCTGGCCCTGAGACAGCCTACAGCAGTTACAATAGTTTGTTAGCTTTTCAGACTTGCCATGAGCAATGTCCTATCAATTTGCCACCCCCACATTCAGTCTCCTGGGATGACTTGCCACCCCCAGGTTTTGTCTCCTGATTAATGGTTCAGATCCTAACTTTCCAGCTACACAAACTTCCCACCCAGTGGCTGGATGGATTCCTGTGGCTTTGTCCATTGAGGAGACAGAGCGACCGCTAATAGGAACTGGGTTGGAAAGGTGAAGATTCAAGTCAGGAGTGCTTTATTAATTGCAGCCAGCAGGACTAAAATAAGGTCAGGAGATCAATTCAGTGTTTGTATTGAATTCTTACCCTTTCGACTTAAAAAGTGAAAAGCCCATGACATAGGTATTGTGATGGGGGGAGTGAACTGTCAGCAAGGAGAATTTCAGAGCAGTTTATACCCCAATTTCCATTAATTTCCTGAGTTTTCTGGAATTAGGAGTTCAGGGAAACCCTCCAGTAGTTTAGCAAACACAGAAATTTCATCAGGTTTCTTACCAGACAAACACAGACCCAATGCATTGCTCAATGTCTCTATGGCAAAAATTATATGCTGTGGTGTCTGTAAAAGAGGAAAAACCGTAAGTGGAGGGCACCTCACCCCACAGTAAAACAGTGCCAACTTTGGAGGGTAGCACCACAGTGGCTTCCAGTAACCTAAAGAAAAATATCATGTTAAACTGTTTCCCTAATGTGATGCTTTCTTCAAAACTGAAACAGTAAAACATTTGACTCAATAACAATACTCTAGATTTTATAACAGGATCTTGATCAACCTTTACTTTTTGCTTGTTTTTAATCTCCTTTTACCTGGTTAGTTTATTGTTGGTGATTTTTATAGAGATAGAATCTGAGTGACAAACCCTCTTTAGTTTGACTTGGAATTTTTTTCTGTCCTACATCATTAGAAATTTGTCCCAGTAATTATATAGGACAGATTTATCCAAAGGCTAGTTAAGAGTGTTATGTGGAAATAGCATATGTCAAATATAAGTCAGTATTCATTTGGGGATGTTATTTTTGATCTGAAGAAAATTGGGTTTATATAGGACAAAGTTTATAGTAGTAAAGACATGATCAAGTTGAGAATTATGTAGTACAAGTGAGTGTACAGTTTGCTTTCAAGATGCTTCCTCAGTGATTACTGAAAAATACTTTAGTATGCATCAACAGGTGAAAAATATTGCAGTAACACCTTAGGAAATCACCAGTCTAGGATAACTCTCAGATTTCTCCCAGCTTGGTGCTTAGGAACTCTCACGGCAAACAGGTCGTTGAGTCAGCAGTGTATGTTGTTAACAGCAAGCAGAAAGTGACTTGTCTGGTCTCTGTGTTCTGACAAATTGATGTGGTGCAAGAGCTGTGGAGAGATCTTTTGTATCTTTCAGTCTTGAGTGGTTAGCTCTTGATATTCCAAATCTGCATTTTGACTCTAGCCTCAGGTTTCTTCTGTGAGATATGCTTCTTTTTTTTCTCTTCAAATTCTTTTTCTTAGTTGACCAACAATTCAGGATAGTGGTTAAGAGCATGGGCTTTAGCGCCAGAAAGAACTAGGTTTAAATTCTTCACCTGCTGTATATTGGCTTTAAGAAGTGTGACTTTTCTGAATTTGTTCCTTACCTGTAAGAAAGGAATAATAATAATTCTAAAATGAGGCATGTATTATTACATAAATGAAATAAGATTATTTAGCCTAGTTACTAAACAAACATTAGGTGTTATCATTTTTCTCATTTAGCTTCTGTATCATTGTGCATAATGCCGCAGAGTTGTATGGGAACAAACTAGTCAACATAAACTGTCCTTAACATGACAGTTACTAACTTAAGGAATATTCTTTGGGGAATCCTTAACTTGGACTGCTACCTCACCCTCTTTGCTCATTCTGCACTATCTTTCACATTCTAATAGGATTCGCCAACCCTAGGAAGACTGGGAAGCCGCCTCAGAATTTTGCGGGAGTTAACGCTCTTCTCAGTACGTACCATGCTGAGAGCTTCCAGTCCAACACACATCCGCCAGCACAGTTTATGTGGACCACAACACCATCATGCCCGCCGAATTTAACCAGGACCCTTGAAACCAAAGGTAGCCATTCATAAGCTTGCCGGAAAACTCTCTGCCCGAGGAGCAATTCTATATCGGAGAGGGTCTAAGAAATCAACCTGACTTCCTCTCAGAGCTTATCGGAGAGAGAGGGGAGAGGCCGCAAAGTCTGCAGCCGGGAAGGTAACAAGAGGACGCTGTGAGAACAGAATCAGAAGCTCTGGAAACAGGAGGGTGGGAGAGGCAGGGCTAGTGCCGTCAGCGGAGAGGAGAGCAGGAGCAGAGCCAGCGAGGGGAGGAGAGGCTCCGGCGGCAGGCCCTGAGTGAGGGCCGACGCGGCGGGGCGTCGGCGGAGCTGCTGCCGCCGGACAGCTGGAACCGCCGCTGAACTGGGAGAGCGGCCTGAGAGGTGACTGTGAATATACTGAAGGTAACAGCCGTCCGGAAGTCCCTTCAACTATTCTCAGAGATGACCACTTGGTGATCAAGTTCTGATTTCTTTCCATTTCTTCCTTTCTGTTTAGCTAGCAGATAACCTGTCAACGCCGCGCGCTTCTGTATCCAGGCATCCCAGGAGCAGGCGTTTCACACCTTTGGTCACCTTGCAGGTTGGCCTTGATTTCGAAAGGCCATGCACCATGTGCTCGAAAGTAAAGACTGGTGATGTGAAAACTCAAGAAGAAGACTTCCGTGAATGCATTAAAACAATAAAGAACACGATTTATCTACAGAAACCAGCTTATTTATCTCTGTACGTCTGCCTCATACGCCCTCTCCTAAAAGGCCCCTTGCCCTTTTCTCTACCAGTCCAAGCCCCTCACCAGAGCCCTGCAGGACCTAATGAGAATTCAAAGCCTCCAAGAAGTGCTTTCCAGTTGACAGACTTCTACCGGATCTGCCCTAGCTCTTGATCATTTCTGCTGTGCCTTGTTAGAATGAAATAAGAGCAATAAGGGCTTCCCCAGGGGCTCAGCCGGCAAGAATCCACTTGCAGTGCAGGAGCTGCAGGAGACACGGATTCAATCCCTGGGTCAGAAAGATCCCTTGGAGAAGAGAATGGCAACCCACTCCAGTATTCTTGCCTGGAGAATCCCATGGACAGAGGAGACTGGTGGGTTACAGTCCACTGCGTCAACCCAAGAGTTGGACGTGGCTGAGTATGCACACATACACATTAGTATTGTGTATTATCTGAAATATGAGTTTTGCAGCTGTTTACTTTATTTTGAAAATAATTCGCTCTTCTGAAAGATCTTTCTTCCTTAAATGATTTATGAGAAAATGAAAATCATTTATCTGTTATCTACAATTCTCCCTCTGTCTCTTCCTCCCCCTCAGTTATGGAAAATCCAGTGGTGATTCATACATACAAAATCAATTTCAGTTTTTGCTAAAGGTATGCAGCATCCACTTCCCTGCCCCAAGGGCATGGCTCGCAACACTTCATATCATTTATACTTTGATCCGATGTAAGCCACAACTGTTGTCTGGAGTTGAAGCCAGACATATGACTCACAGAATTTAGTGACTCTTGGTACCTTAAAGTCTTACTAACTTACAAGAGGTTGTAAACAGCTTATTTAAACTGTATGTATGAATGTCAATAGTATAATAATAATATTTAGATCACTAACATTCTAAGTGAAAAAGTCTACTTACAATTTACTGTCTAGGTTGGTCATAACTTTCCTTTCAAGTAGTAAGTGTCTTTTAATTTCATGGCTGCAGTCACCATCTGCAGTGATTTTGGAGCCCCAAAGAATAAAGTCTGCTGCTGTTTCCCCATCTATTTGCCATGAAGTGATGGGACTGGATGCCATGATCTTAGTTTTCTGAATGTTGAGCTTTAAGTCAACTTTTATAAAGCTGAGTGCTGAAGAATTGATGCTTTTGAACTGTGGTGTTGGAGAAGACTCTTGAGAGTCCCCTGGACTGCAAGGAGATCCAACCAGTCCATCCTAAGGGAAATCAGTCCTGGGTATTCATTGGAAGGACTGATGTTGAAGCTGAAACTCCAATACTTTGGCCACCTGATGCAAAGAGCTGAATCATTTGAAAAGACCCTGATGCTGGGAAAGATTGAAGGCAGGAAGAGAAGGGGATGACAGAGGATGAGATGGTTGGATGGCATCACTGACTCAATGGACATGAGTTTGAGTAAACTCTGGGAGTTGGTGATGGACAGGGAGGCCTGGTGTGCTGCAGTCCATAGGGTCACAAAGAGTCGGACATGACTGACTGAACTGAACTGACTTACAATTTAAACTGAATTTGGCCATAGGTGACTTTTCTGTTTAATTTTATCCATCAATCAAGAGATTTTTGAGCACTAAATTAATAAATAACAATAATTAATAAATATTTATAGACAGCATGCAGACCACAGAAAAACTGTCAAGAATTATGAGGAAGATAGGTTCACAAAGAGTTATCTTCAGACAACTTAAAAAAATCTCTAAAGCACCTCCTGATTAATTATATCCTGATCAGGCTGTTGCTTATATCATGTTTTGTTCTATTTGTTTTCCTGAAACTCAAACATGTGTTTATTAAAAAGCAGCTGCATTTCTATTGCAGAGCAAAGAGCAGATAAATACACTTTATAACTGGTAATCTGGGTTAGGCTGGTCTGGGAGGGAAAAGTAGTTATAAAGCTCAACTAGGTCATCATCATCCACCTTCCTGTATCTCTACTGCTCTGACATCCTTTGCCTAAAAATCATCTCTAGATCATGGCAGTTTAATACAGACCGGAGCTCTTCACAAGAAACTAGTGCTTCCGTGTTAATTTGGACAGAAGAATAGTTGTTAGGTCAAAATATGATTAAAGAATCATATCCAATAATCTATGCATTCCTTTCCACTGAGAGATACCTGTATGAGGATATACTCAAGAGCAGGGTTTTCTTGCTTTGTTTGGAGACAGAGCAAAAGGCCCTGGGTGATCTTAAAGGATTGTTCCTTCAGATTTTGTTGGTTCCTCTTTTCTCCCACATGAATAGTTACTGCTGCAGACAAAATGCCTATATGTCAACTCTTACTCTGTTACAATTATATGAAAGAAATCAAAGTTACAAAGCTCTAAAAGAACCCAAAGAATGGGCAAGTTCATTAGCACCTGAGAGATTTCAACAAATTTATAAAATTAACAAAATGATAATAACGGTGTTTCATCACTTGTTTCACAAAATTCTGTGTTTTTTAAAAACTCTATTTGGACAGCACCTTTTAAAATTAATTAATCTGGCCCACCACACGGTACACAGGATCTTAGTTCCTCAACCATTGCTTTTGTCCCGGAAATGAAGTGTGGAGTCTTAGCCCCTTGACTGCCAGGGAAGTCCCTAAAATTTTAGGGTTGATACTCATATTTTATTTTTAAAAGCACATTAGTAATTTTAAAAATTTGAAAAATCACTGAAATTAAGTTGTTAATACACTTAAAATTTATAAGCATATTCTTGGACGTAAAATGTATTATTGTTGTTTAGTCTCTCAGTCGTGTCCGACTCTTTGCCACCCCATGGACTGCAGCACGCCAGGCTTCCCTGTCCTTCACCATCACCCGGAGTTTGCTCAAACTCATGTCCATTGAGTCGGTGATGCCATCCAATCATCTTGTCCTCTGTCGCTCCCTTCTCCTCCTGCCTTCAATCTTTCCCAGCATCAGGGTCTTTTCTAATGAGTTGGCTCTTCTCATCAGGTGGCCAAAATATTGGAGCTTCAGCTGCAGCATTAGTCCTTGCAATGAATATTCAGGATTGATTTCCTTTAGGATTTCCTTTAGGATAAGATTTATTAGCACTTGTCAAATAATACATATTGACATTCTAAAATAAGTTATAAAAATAAATTGCTGAATAAAAAACATTATTTTCATAGTCTTCAGTTTCAGCATTTGTAAATGAAGTCTTCCTCTATGTGAATTAATTTCAATATTTTCATCTTCATACCTGAAATTTTGGGGAAAGCCTCCACTTTGCTGTCATAACTCAAGAATTTGTCTCCATTAATTGTTCAGTGTCAGGCATGAGCAATAATAAAGTGCTGGATTTTTCAAACAATTTATACTTTTACATTTGCTATTTTATTTTCTGGGCTCTCTGTTTTGATATTGTCACTCTTACTGTTTTCTAGTGTGTTTCCTTGAATTGGAGAGAAAAAGGTAGAAATTCACTGGTGGCCTGTGCAGTTCAAGAAAGTGTGTGCTGCATAGGAACGGTACTGTTGCTGAGGACCACAGAACATGGCGAAAAATGGATGCATTTACCTGGATCTCACCTGCAAGCCATTTTTGACCTCCACTGGTTTCTGGGAACCACCTCTGATTTAGGGCCTAAATTTAGGGGGTAAGTCATCTTATTTTTTGAGATTGTGACCTATCTTCATTCCCATCAACTGACTAAATTCTTTAAGATAATGAAAAATGGTGGAACAAATTGGTTCATTTAATCTGGATATGGCAGAATACCCTGGGAGCAAATGAAATATTAGGATAAATGCCTCTTATGCAATGTGCTTGCCTCCTCAGGCTGAAAGCACTCTAAAGTAATCCAAAAACTGGCGGGTGTAGGACTTTCCAAGATGTGTACATTGTTTATCATTGGAGAAAGAGTAGATAAAATTCTGTATTTAACCTCTTGCTTGATGAGTTTCATCAGCTTGAATATTTGTACAAGGAAGAATCAAGATCCCCTTAATCATTTGTGTTTGTCAGTGTTTTGGAAATTTTGAAAAAAATTTTTGGTATTGGAAAAGTTGACACATATCCTCAATGATGCTTTACAAGAAAATGGCTCATTTCCTAACATCTGGCTTCTATTAATCCTGTTTAGTGTTGGACTTGGTTAAAATGGTCCTGGCAGCAAGGTGGTTAGATGAGTTCCCAAAATGAGACAAACTAGCCTTGAGTGTGCTTGGGTTATGTATGATCCGTAGGGAAAATTCTTCCCATCCCTATAGTCCCGTCTAGTGTTAGTATCTTTGGATCTAGGTGTCTGGGACAGGCTCACTCAGATTCTTGGCCACTCTCTAGCGAATAAGAGTCAAAGCAAAAGGACAGTGCTTGGCTCTGCCTTGTTTCAGAATAACTGTCATCTTCTTTCTAACCCACTTCCCATCCTTCCCACCTTTGCGCCTTCCTTCTTTTTCTATTTTCTTGCATTTTCCCCCTCCTGCCCTTCCTCCCTCCCTCCCTTTCAGCCCTCCCTTTCTCACTCCTTCCTTCTCTCCCTTCCTCCTTACCTTCCTTCCTATGTCAGAGGGCAAATTACAAGATTCCTGTTGCTCAGGCAATTTTAGAGATAAAAGCCTCAAAAAAAAAAAAAAAAAGGAAAACCTACATTCTACGTTTAAGGTCATTAAGCAAAGAATGAAGCCTTTACTTCTATCCATAAACTTTTACCTTCGACCAAAGATTGTGCTATACTTGCTCTGTCACTGAACAGACGGCAGTGCAAAAAATAGTGATAAATGAATCATACTCCAAGATTTTGATCCTGTAAAAGATCAATGGTAGTGCGGTACAACAAATCATTTTTCTGCAAATTTAGAGAAATCAAAAGTAACAAATGTTGAAACTATATTATTGGGCAGAACTGATTCTTTCTCAAGTGAGATTGCAAATTACAACTCAAGTAAAGAAAAGGATTAAGACATAATTTCGGCATGAAATCTGTAGACACTCACCTTGAGCTTGTCTTTATTTGCATCCCTTCATTTGTTTATCCATACAACACATTTTAACTGAGTAACAAGTGTGGGTTGAATCTCTAGGGTTATAAAAATGAGTAAGAAGCATTTTTGCACTCAGTCTCTAGGACATCAGAAAGATATTTCTCCACTAGTGAATGCCTTTTAAAGTAAAATTTCATTGATTTAAAAGCTGCTGATATAGTTAAATAGTTTGTATAGTATACATAAATCTCATTTAGCAATATGTTGGAGGAAAAAAAGCACCTTAACATTTTCTGGGCTAATGTTTAGTTTTTCTTGGAAGGCAAGTTACAGTGCAGCAGCTATTTTTCCCCCAAGAATCTATGAATTTAATGGTTCTTTAATACTTAAAAAAAAATGTTTTGTCTCCAAACTTTGGGACCACCAATTCAATCATTTAGTATATAATTTATTGATATGTAGCATAGGCTGAATGTTAATTTATTAGTTGCATTGAATTACCTCTTGCCTTGTACTTCAATTGAATTTTAAAAAATCAGATATTTTATATTAAGTAGAATTTTGCACCCTTATTCAAAACAACTAATGTCTTATAGGAATTTTAAAATAATAGATAATTATAGTGCAGTTGAGTTTTTTTTAAACTCAGGGTACTTGTAAACACATCCAAGTTGAGGCTGCCTCTAAACAAATTTCAATATGCCATAGTGTACCTTATAGACCTCTGATTCTATAAGGAAATAAGAACCATGAAAAGGCTAGATTCAAAAAGTACAATAGTCTTTAAAAGGTCACATTTCAATGCCTGTGTGTGTTAATCAGGATACCAAATTATATTCCAACTCTTTCCCCTGAAACTGTGGACCATGCTCTCCAAGCAGTATTCAAGGTTCAGAGTGATAAGACCCAACTCAGTTTCACTAGAGTTTTCTGGGACACTCCTTACACATGATCTTCTTCAAAAGCAGAGGCAATGGTGATGAAAAGATTGTCTTTATTGAGGAAGTCTTGTTTTTTAAAGCACTCTACCAGAAGTCAGGGCTTCCCTGATAGCTCAGTTGGTAAAGAATCTGCCTACAATGCAGGAGACCTGGGTTCAACCCCTGGGTTAGGAAGATAGATCTCCTGGAGAAGGGAACAGCTACCCACTCCAGTGTTCTGGCCTGGAGAATTCCATGGACCATATAGTTCATGGGGTCACAAAGAGTCGGACACGACTGAGTGACTTTGACTTTGACTTTCACCAGAAATCATAGCTTTTGTTCTTGTCTTGACAATTTCCCCACAATTATTTTCTGAGTTATTTCCCGTTTGGAGTATGGAGATTTCTTCCCCCACTTGATGGGTGCTTTGGACAATTGGCTTATGCTTTTTCTCCTAGTAAGGGTCTGGGAGACAGTGTTCACTTTGTTGATGATGAACTCTGGACAAATGATTCCAAAGGTAAGGGTGAACATCCTCCAGTTAGAATTCATGTAACTGTTCATTAAACTTGTGTAATCATTGACCTCAGAGAGTGGTGAAATTACAGGAAGCTCCCATTTCAGAGGAAATTGCTTTGCCCATTAAATGTAAATAAGATGTCAAAACATTGAGTTTTCCATCTTCTATCCCCAACAGCAATTAAGGCAATAAAACAGAATCAACCAAAATGCTTTTTGAGGTCTTGGAGGGTTATGTGGTAACTCTACAAAGTTTGACTTTAACCCAGGATTTTCTCCCCTATGTTTGAAGAAAGTGTAACAGAGTTTACTAATTGCTGATCATTAAACTTCAGTCAGTTCAGTCATTCAGTCATGTCTGACTCTTTGCGACCCCATGGACTGCAGCATGCCAGGCCTCCCTGTCCATCACCAACTCCCGGAGTTTCCCCAAACTCATGTCCATTGAGTCGGTGTTGCCATCCAACCATCTCATCCTCTGTCGTCCCCTTCTCCTCCTGCCTTCAATCTTTCCCAGCATCAGGGTCTTTTCAAACAAGTCAGTTCTTCGCATCAGATGGCCAAAGTATTGGAGTTTCAGCTTCAACATCAGTCCTTCCAATGAATATTCAGGACTGATTTCCTTTAGGATTGGCTGGTTTGATCTTGCAGTCCAGGGGACTCTCAAGAGTCTTCTCCAACACCACAGTTCAAAAGCCTCAACTCTGCTGACTCGACTTTCTTAATAGTCCAACTCTCACATCCATACAAGACTACTGGAAAAACCATAGCTTTGACTAGATGGACCTTTGTTGGCAAAGTGATGTCTCTGCTTTTTAATATGCTGTCTAGGTTGTTCATAACTTGTCTTCAAGGAGTAAGTGTCTTTTAATGTCATGGCTTCAGTCACCATCTGCAGTGATTTTGGAGCCCCCCAAAGTAAAGTCTCTCACTGTTTCCACTGTTTCCCCATCTATTTGCCATGAAGTGATGGAACCAGATGCCATGATCTTAGTTTTCTGAATGTTGAGTTTTAAGCCAACTTTTTGGGTGGTGGAACTAGTTTACAGTGATTTGCAAATAAAACAATAAAACATAATATATTTAAATATAAAACAATGGTCTTTGTTTCATGCTTTGCTGATTTATATTTTATTCCTATTCTTCACTGACATTTTGACTAAAAATCATATTAAGAGGTAGATGACA